GGGCAGAGCCCGTGATCGGTCTAATTGCTCGACGAGTACAGGTACTCCCCACTCTGGGGGGGCTTTTCGTCACGCGAGTGCCATTCGTGACCATCAATTTCTGTTCTCCGTCTCGGTTAATTGACGTCACGTGACGACGCGTCTTATCAATCCCCATGCAAGCCTCCGACCTATCACCCGGCGTCATTTATCGGCCAGCACCTTAATCTAATATCGCTTAACAGCCGGAATTGCGATGCCATTACCTCGCGGCTGTTTCGCCCTCGACGAGCCCTCTTTATCGGCCTATCAGATGAGAGCACAAGTGCAAGGGCGTTCCGCGGTGGGAAGCAATCTGCCGACTAATGATAACGGGGAGCCTTATCCGACTCGAACGCACCGCAAATTGGCTCCTCGACGATCCCAATCGCTCCACCGTTAAAATAATAAAAGTTTCGAACAATCTTGAAGTAATAAAAGAAATTCCAATTTTATTCCTGTAATTTCGAGAATTAAGGTGTTATGAAAGGGTCATTCAATATATATTGTCGATATCAAAACGTCAAAATATTTATATAACTTTTCTCCAAACTGGGTGCCCCAAATCATTAAAAATTTAAGCACGTTATTATTGAGGCCCTAAGGAATAACGCGATGCTCATGAAATTTCATTTTTCCAAAAAAATAACGTGTCCTTGGTTCTAGTCTTGGATAAATAAACAAATTTTTGTTGTAAAATGGAATTTCATGAGCCCCATGTTTTTCCTTAGGCCCTCCATAATCACAGGCCGAAGTTTTAAATGATTCGGTGCCCCCAGTTTGGGGAAAAATTTTATAAACATTTTGACGATTTGATAGATATAGAATGACTCTTTCATATCACCTTAATTCTTTATCGGTGGTTATTGTGTGCAGGAATTGCCGGTCTCTTTTGCAAGGCTGTGAACGTTGGTGTAAATGGGCGAGTGCCCGAAATGGAAATGGCAGACAAGTAGAGGCCGATATAAATAAATAAAGTAGCGGAAGTCGGGGATTCCGGAAGGCGTGTCCAGTATCCGGCTGGACCGGCGACTCGGCGAGAGTTTTACGCTCGAGGAATTTCGCGATAGGCCATTTGACTCGACCCTACGTATCACTGGTTGGCACATATTGCACGCGGACCAGCCACGGTCGTTCCTCTTGCGCCGTCCTCCAGGATCCGCACGGCCGATTGATTAATTTCCCTGCCTCCGGGAAACGCCTGGACCGGGATTTCGCAAGCTCGGACTCGAGTCAACGTACCCGGCAACGAGGGAAATAATTCCTCGTCCCTGGTTTGCATAAATTCATAAACATCCCCTGGGGCACAATTTTCTAGATAAGCACAGAGGCCCTCCAGGAAAAGTCCGTTTTGGTAAAGCGAGAAAACAGAGATCTCGAAATGTCCCACTCGAGCCTCGGCAGTACCGATGTTAACGAGAGACGGCGAAATTTATGAAATTGCAAAATGGTCAAGCGAAGTTTATATCCCGGGGGCGAAGGCGCGGAATATACGCGGAGCAGAATACACGACGTTCCCACGAATCACTGGAAACGGTATTTACGGCCGCCCCTAAATACGCCATTTACCCCGTTCGATAAATCCCTTAATTACCGGTGAATACCCCAACGGAGAGGAAAATTCTATCGAATTCGAAAACCTGGATTTTCTCCTCGCTGGAGCGCCGAGGAACCGAAGAGGTTACTCCCGGAGGAAAGTAGGGGAGAACATCTAAAAAGAGGGGACGAAATCCTGGAATTATTCAAGGAGCTGCGAAAACACTCCCGGAAGAGTTGTCCTCGGGTCCCGAAGGAGAAGGTGTCTCGGGAAACTTCCGGAGAATTTTCGAAAAAATATTTTCCGCCCTATCGAGGCTCGTTAAGGCGAAACTCGCCGATTGGCGAGAAACGCCCGCTAAATCTCCACGCTCTCCCTCGTTAAATCCGGATCCAGGAGGGAGAGGAATCCTTTGGGACCCGGCAAGAGGTCCTCGATGCCGAGAGGACACCCGAGGTGGGAGACGCGCGGAAGAAAGTTCGCGGATCGCGGGGCAAAACGCTAATGAATATGCAGGAGGCTTGCGAATGCACACGCGGTGGGACCTCGTAACATGCAAATGTGTCCGCGGACCGGCGGAGGAATCGCGCCTGCGGAATCGCGTCGTCGAATCACGGGTACGGAGTCACGATTGGGAAATCGCGGCTGCGGAAACCGCGACTACGAAATCGGATTCGCGGAATTGGGCACATGGAATCGCGCGGGTAGAATCACGGCTGCGGAATCGTGTCTTCGGGGTTGCGACCGTGCTGGTACGATAGCGGCCGCGAAATCGCGACTGCGGAATCGCAGCTACGGATAATCAAGTTTTACGAGAGGTTATACGGCCCGCGGATGCGACATGGCCAAGGGGGCGCGGATGTCTCCCGGGAGATCCCGAAATTACAATTGAAATCACGCGCCGCGCCCCGTATTTGCATAAACAATTGCGGCGCGTAATTGTTGGTGGCGGCCGCGATCGAGCGGCCCTTATTGCACCGATCCCGAATTATTATTATATACATGTGTAAGCGTGACTCGCGGCCTGTCCGGCTGCGCATTAATCCAATTATTTATCGGCGGCCCCTTCCGTGACCCGATTTGAGGGGCGCCGAGTTACGCGGCTTGATTAAAAATTTCACCCTCCCCGTCCCTCTTGTCCGATCCGCCCCGGGAAATGGTAAATTAAATGCCGCCATTTCCGCGATTCGCCGTCATTTATCTCGTGATTTACTTCGTGATTTATCTTTCCATTTCGCGGCACTTTCTCCGACTTTCCGTCCTGGAAAAAAAAAAAGAAAAAGAAATGTCATCGAACCAGAGAAATATTTCTTCGAACAGTACCAAAAATGATATCCTTAATTCAAGGAATAATTATTTGAGTTAAATAATGTCGAATAAATTGGACGCGACGTCTCTTCGGAATTGTGACTACTTATTTGAGCCAAGTAATTATTCTTTGAAAGATACATATTTTTTTAGGTTATAATATCGAAATACTTTTTTGGTTCAATGATTTTTTTCCTCAGTACAAGGTCCATCGAGGATCACCGAAATATATATATTTATGTATGTACACGGATATACATAAATGTTCAGGGTGACACTTAAACCGTGGAGATTACCCGACGTTTCATCGGGCGAAGAGTAAAAACACACGTTTAAAGGGGGTAGAAGGGGGTAGTAATATTTCACGCAGGTAAGAGGTATCAAGGGGCACATCTAGGAAATAAAGTGGAGCAAACGGCTCTCCTCGGCAAAACGGCGATCGAAATGGTTATGCACACTCGGTTAAAATGAAGGCACGGAAGGGCACATTAAACACGTAAATCGCAGTCTACATGCGATCACCATCAGGCTAATCGATCGAGCTTAAGTTGGGTCTATCGATGGTTAGCCTAATTTCTAGTGTCATATCCGCGTGTCACGCGGGCTTGCAAAAGGTGCGCCGATCAGCGTAATCGGGGTGAAGGAACGAAACGAAAAGAGAAAAATCAACCAAGCTTCCAAACGATCGAAAAAAATAAAATAAAATAAAAGAAGAATTGCGTGAAACAAGTTTAAGGGGGAAGAAACTAGAAAACGCAACGAAAAGGTCCTCGTGTCAACTTACGGATATTCGTCGATCGCAGTCCGGGCGAGATCCGCGTGCGGATTTTCGATGAACGTGACGAAATAAGTATCGAAAGCAAAAAGAGAAAATTAGCTGGGCACTCCTTCGGCGGTGGTTTTCGAGGGTGGATCTCATCCTCTCTTGTCTTTTTCGATTTTTCGGCAAAGGTTCTCTCTCGCTCTCTTTCCCTCCCTATCTCTCTCGGGAGGAGAAAAGAAGCGGCCCTCCTTTCTCTTATTTCCCTTTTTCGACTCCCCGATTCAACTTCGTTCCCCCGAAGGAGAGTTCTCCCCTTTTCTCTTTGGCCAAATTAATGGCGCATCCCCTTTCCTCTCCCGGGAGAAAAACGACTCACGGCCAGAGAGGGCCCTGAAAAACCATTGATAGCATCGCTAAGTCTCGCGGAATCCACTTTTGCATTCCGATCTAGTGGTCTCGCCCGCAAATCCCTCCCTCGAGCTCGGAAAAAGAGCCAAACGGGGGTCGATTAATTGCCCAAGTGTACGGGTGAAGGGCTGCGGTTAATTACTAATTGTCCGCCACCCTCTGAATCGAGACTAATGGCCGATTCTTTCCCGTTCTGCCGCGTGTAGGAGGAACTTTTCGAAGCCTCGGCATTCAAAGTACACGAACGAGCCTAGCTGGGGGTGGAGTTTGCTTCACCCCGAAGAATGCCCGAATTCAGGGGAGTGGTTCATTCACTGGAATCGAAGACCCGTGGCCTAATTACTCTGATCGATCCGCCGATAATCAAAGGGATCGTCTTAACCTAAATCCAATCTCCCCTCGATTTGTCTCGCCCTGACCGAGTGGGATGCTCGGTCCACCTTATCGATATAATAATTTGCGAAAATTCGAGGTCGTATTTTTGGGCACCCTCCAGGCGCCGTTGAGAAACATATGGCCGGTATTTCAATGAATTTTTAAGTTTATCGCAGGGGAGCCAAAGTGTCCACCGTTAAAAATGCAGCCAACGGCGAGCGTGTATATATCTTGCACCCCGCCCCAATTTGAACCACCCCCTGCACAGGCCATCGCATCCATTACCGGTGTTGAAGACATTACCGCGAATATGGCAGCACTTAGGCGAATTTCGAGCACCAAGGTCGATTGATAAACAAGAGCAATGCAAATCGGTACAAGGGAAGCGAAACGTGCCCACCATGAGCACCGAAAATCCCATTAGCGATGCTATCAAGTGGCGGAAAAGCAGCAGGCCGAAGCCTTGATTTGGGATTTTGAGGTCCTTGAAAGAAGAATTCTTTGCTCTATTTCTAATTACCAATTGACATAAGTGCGTGTGTTAATAAACCGGGGATAAAGGACACGTTCGAGATGGAAAAGACGACTCACCCCCTTGAAGCTGCGGCTCCCCAAGTTCGACGTAGAAGAGGGCGTCCTTCTCGTACGAGTCCTCCTCTATTATGGAGAGTGTTATGGTTTTTCTGAAAGCAAAGAAGTCCCGGTTAAAAATACATCCCCCGAGAACATCTCCCGGGAAAGGGGAGGAAAAGAGAGTCCGAACACGTATCTTCAATTATAAGTTTCATCCCCCTCGGACGAGTGCCGAAGTTTAATCAATTTCGAAAGGAATCCAAGTGTCGACTCCAAAATGGACCGAGATCGCCTTCGGCAACTCAACCCCTTCCGCTCGATAAATCCAAGAAGGGTGGAATTCGCCTCCGATTGGTCTTCGGGGTCTCGTTGTCCAGCAATAACCTCCTCAGCCTCGTAATGACCTCTTACGTGACACGGCCGACACCCCTGGGAGGCGCGCCAGGGAAAAATTCATTTTCTCCCCGAGCCACCCTTCCCCGACCTTTTTGCCATCTCTTTTTCCCGAAATTAATAAACTTCGCGGAGGCGGCGCGAATCTCCCCGGAAACCTCGGGAATGCGAGACTCTTCGGCTCGATTAATCCCCGATCGAATTTCCCCCGAGAAACAAGGGCAAAAACGACCATTCGAGGAGGGTCGAGAAAGGGGTGTACTTTATTACTGTCGTCCTGCGCTCGAGTTGGCGCGGAAATCTCGCCAAGCTTCCAACGTCCCGGGCTTTCCCCCTTTTGTTTTTTCGGAGATAAATAAGAGAACCCCCTGGCGTTACCGCCTCGGTGGATTTTCGAAAAGTTTCAGTAAAGATCGCGCCGTTGAATTGAAATTCTTGGGGGAATATTTCCCATCTAATAGAGCACTTTCACGTATTCAAGGCCTGAAGCGACTTGTCAGGTGAAGCTTGCATCCCTTGGTTCGATATCGAGGGGTGGCCGGTAACGCGGACACCTCCACACGGCCGATAACGCGCGGACTCGCGCTTGACCCCGCACCGGAAAGAAACCGCACTCGCGTAACGTTATGTAAAGAGCGGCCCGAGCGGAGAATAATTCCCGAGCCCGAAGTCTCTGCGGAATTTTTAATACCTCTGGTTCTCGCCCCGGTGCCGGCCATCTCATTTTTTGACGGAAATTCAAATAGATGGGAGGAGTCGGATAATCGTGACGCGGAAATGTGAGCGGTGGTTAGAGAAGATCTAAGATTATTGCGCGGGATGTCCGCCATTTTTCAGGGGTCCTTTTGCACTTATACCCTCATACTTCTCCGCATAAAGCGAGCACGTAGATAACACGAGATTGAGTAAAATAAAATGACTAGTAAAGGGATAAAAAAGTTTAAAATCCTAAAGAATAGTGGACTGCAACTCACTATAAGCCTATGAGGTGCCCATTCACTTCAGTTACGCTAAGTAATATAAATATAATAGGTGAAAAGGAAATATATAACAAGGGTGACTTCTCGATTAGTGTATGCATAAGCATATCTGCGTTTAAATAAACGCGAGTGAAAGAAAATCCCAGGTGGAAATCTCCGCAAGGTCGCAATTTCAAAGCTCACGGTGGACGTTAACTCGGGATTTGCTGCGGAACAGGTGCGCGGCTCGTCCGCGCAATTTTTCCGCCGGGCAGTAAATAGGATAGGCATTACGGAGGAATTACGCGGGGCCGTAAGTCGGGGGTATAAAAAGTAAAGGAACGGGGGAAGAAGTGAAATCTCGCGGAGACAATAACTCGCGCAGCAGGCGGTCTGGCCTAGGAGAAAGGCCCGTAAAGATTCCGGGGAATTTTTAATAATTCCGAGGGCGCGCATAAATAATTATTACGATTTAACGGCGTCGCCATTGGTGTCACGGCGCCCCACATGGCGCGCCGAAAAGTACCGAGTGCACCCACCGTGCATACTTTACTCTCGTTTTGGTATTCACGATAGGTTCCTTTCTCGAGTACGGTGCCCTGGCCGGGTGGCGGAAAAGAATATCGAAAAAGGAGTAAAAATAAGCGGCTCACTTCCGAGTTCCGGCATATTTTTAGCCCTTGCGTCGACCTGGAGTCGCGCCATCCTCGTCGATTCGACGGATTTGGAAAGGGCTCGTTGGGGTCTATTCTTGCATCTAAACTGTCTACCTCCTATTCCGAGAAAGCTATACAAGTTGTGCCCTAGAAACTCAGGTCCGTCGTAACGCTCGGCATGTCCATGATTCCGATTTCTTCCGCGCCATCTTATCACTAAGCCTTTTAATCGCTAAACGAGCCTTTCCAATGTTTCCCAATAATTTTTCGTAAAACAATAAAAACACCGCAGATATTCGCGCAAAGATTTAAGTACAGAGAGCGGCGGTCGATCGATCGATTTCGCAATGTCCATGAGAATCGGCATTTTTAATCCCAATTATCGAGTCGTCGGGACGTGTCGGGGAATCGGAACTCGATCGTCCATCACTTCCTAATAAAAAATCACGGTTCGAGGCTGATTAATGGCGAACGTGTTCTTAACAGTTCCGCGGTGACCGGGGCGCGGTGCGATTATTCACGAGCCGTCCTCGCTCGGCGGTGATCGATCGGTCTCCGATCCATCGGTGTCGCGGCCAATAATAAGGATCATATTAATAACGGCCAGTGATACCAGTGTCAATCGCAATCGCCGATGCACCGACGGTATCGCTGATTCCCGGAATAAGGTCGCGACACGCCACCATCTCGGTCGGTTTATTTAATAAACCTCGTCGCAAGACCTACCCCAACCTGGGCTCCACGTGTGCCGCTTAAAGAGGCCATCGCGGGAGAAAAAACTCCCCTGAAAAGGGTTAGATCACTTCTCTCCGGAATTAGGCGCCCCCTCTTCCCTTTCTAAGTGATAAAAAATATATTTCTCGTATTCTCTCCGACGAGACAAAATTATTTAGCCAGCTTTTTAGATATTTCAACGCCGCGAAAAACGGAGAAAAAGGGAGGAAAAGGATCCATTTTGTTCAGACTGGGTTTCCGAGGTTTTCGATCCATCGTTTACGCGGAGGCCCTTGGGGGCCGATACGTTTAATCGTATTCCTGTACACTGCTGGCCGTTTAACGGTGTGTGGGGTGGGTCGATCCCCCGCGAACCCCGTTTTTTATTAACCCTTCGGACCGCCGTCCACACTATTCCCGCCATTTATTCCCGACACTCGATCTCTGGGGGTTAATCGAACTTTTCCGCGATCCGTTTCCGGACTCCGGGAAATTGCACCGTGCCTCATCGAAAATGTACCGCCTGGGGCAAAGCTCATTTTCCATTTACTCCCTTAATCACCGTAAAAGAGAGCGAGTAACGACGTTAGGCCCGACTTCTGGCCTCGAGGTTGCCCGTACACGCGTGGAGTACCCTCGTGTACGAGCGTGTACATTAAGCCCCTGCACAACGGAGCTTTTACTAAACGAGTGGCTCTCCCACATTGTTTGCCAAAGGGGGACGGGCGGCCTCTTAAGTGTTAAAGCAAATAGATTCTTACTCGGCCTTTACAATCGTAAAGCGTCATTCCTTCAGACCTGACGACTGTGTACATCTGTCCCCCTTTTAACGCCATAATTAATCCAGGAACAATTAAATTTAATTTGATGGGCTGCGGGCAAATATATCGGGAAGGGAATTCCCATTGACGTGGAGAGCTACGGGATGGGGCGAAATTCGTACGGAGTGGATCGCATTCAATGGCATCTAAAAAGGCTTTGACGCTGGCAGGGATCGGATTGGAAGACAATATCGCCCCTCGATTTTGACGAATCAACCGGCGCGGCGCGGATCAAAGGCCGCGGGGGGTAATCGAATTCGCGTCAGGATTAATCCGGTACCGCTCGTTTAGTAGGGGACGACATTCCTTCACGGAGTTCCGGCCTCGTTTCTCCCATAAGGCTCTTTCGGGCCGTTTCGGTATTCCAAGTCCAAACGGAAGCCCCGGAAGCTTCCGCCCATCTCGTTCCGCAAGAGACACTTGACAGATTTCTCCTTCCCGCTGCGGCACATTTCGCGCTCTCTCGTTAAATTGACTTCTCTATTTTCTCCACTTACAAAAATCGCCCTGCAGACAAAACGGAGCTACGTGGTTTAATTACAAAAAAAAAAAGAAAGGCAGAGAGAAAACCAAAACGAGAAAATAGGAGGAAAAAAGTAACAGGCAAAAGCAACTCCCCATGAACGTCCGTGGCTCGGCTCGGCAGAGATCCGGCTAAAAAATTGCGCCCGAGGTAAACCGACCTTTATTATCAGCAGATTCTTCCGCATCGCGGGTAATGGTCATTTCTCTTGTTTATCTAACCCCGGACCGTGCAGACACCGGGACTCTCGGTCGCAAGGACGGCCCCTGATGAGCTTTTCATCCCGCCAGTCTACCGAGAGCCATTCCTCGTTGCTCTTTGACGGCAATCTTACGTGGCGGTTCTTCAAAGCCCGCCTCTTCCCCCCTCCCACCCCCGAAGAAGACGTACATAGATGCTCCTCCAAGCGGCGCGTCTCTTCCACTGCGCGATTCTCCATAACCACGAATTAATCACGTTTCCATCCCCTTTCTCATTCACCCTCGCCCACTTTTGGCGTAAGACTTAATTAGTCCTCGGTTTCTAGGACGCGATTCCGTGCAGAAGGACGCCGAGTGAAATAAAAAGCTGCGTTCCCGTCCTCTTTATTTCTCATTCTTATCTTTTTCTCGCCTAAGGAGGGGTGTCGCTCTTATCACCCGGGGTTTTTCGCTCTCACTTTTCTCTCCCCGATCCCGAAGGACTCTCGGTGAGCTTTCGCCACGGGCCCTCGAACTTTAACTCGGCACGCGAGCTGCCGGCACGCTGAAGCTGCACGCCGCGATAACGAGCTTTCCGTCCCCCCTTCCGAGAGGCGAAGGTCGCGAGCCGTATAACGAGAAAGCGCGGCGGGGAAAAAGCTCCGGTGGACGCGCGAGGCGACCCTTCGTTACGGCGCGGGATCTCCCGAAAGCTCCGTGGCTTTCCAACCCCCGGGGTCCCCTAACTCGCGTGAAATTAACCGTAAGAAGGAGAGAAAGAGAAAGGACGGTTAATTACGCACGTCCGAGGTGATTCCGAATTCATTGATAAGGGAAAAAAGAGAAATGGATCAAATTAAAAAAA